ACCCACCTTCCAGTACTTCCCCTTTAAGGTACTAATATTATTATTATACAGGATTTATATAGCGCCAACAGTTTACTCAGCACTTTACAATATAACGGGAGACAAGAGAACAACAATACAGTTCAATACAAGAGGGATTGGAGGGCCCTGCTCCTTGGAGCTTACAATCTACATAACCAAGTATCATTTTGTGATGCTAAGTAATTTATGAAGAATTTGTTAATGATAACAAGAAAAGCAGTAAATAAGATCCCCTGCAACCAGCAACAATAGACCCCCCAGCAACAATAGATTTTCCCAGAAACAATAGACTCCCCTGCAGCAATATACCCCAGTAACAATAGATCCACCCCAGCAACCATAGATACAGTTGCAAGAAAAAGTATGTGAACCCCTTGGGATTACGTGGAGTTTTGCATGAATTGGGCATAAAATGTGTTCTGAACGTCATTTAAGTCACAACAATAGAAGAACACAGTCTGCTGAACATAATACTACACAAACATTAGATGTTGTCATGGTTTATTTGCACATAACATGTAAACACTCACAGTGCAGGGAGGATAAAGTATGTGAACCTTTGGACTTAATAACTGGTTGACCCTCCTTTGGCAGCAATAACCTCAACCAAACATTTCCTGTAGTTGCAGATCAGACCTGCACAATGATCTGGAGTAATTTTGGACCACTCCTCTTCACAAAACTGTTTCAGTGTAGCAATATTCTTGGGATGTCTGGTGTGAATCGCTCTCTTAAGGTCATGCCACAGCATTTTAATCGGGTTGAGGTCAGGACTCTGACTGGGCCACTCCAGAAGGCGTATTCTGTGCTGTTGCAGCCATTGTTTTGTTGAATTACTTGTATGCTTTGGGTCATTGTCCTGTTGCATCACCCATCCTCTGCGGAGCTTCAGTTGGCGGACAGATGGTCGTACGTTTTCCTGCAAAATGTCTTGATAAACTCTGGAATTCATTTTCCCATCAATGACAACAATCCGTCCAGGCCCTGAGGCAGCAAAGCAGCCCCAAACCATGATGCTCCCTCCGCCATAATTTACAGTGAGGATGAGGTTTTGATGTTGGTGTGCTGTGCCTTTTTTTCTCCACACATAGTGTTGTGTGTTCTTCCCAAACAACTCAGTCTTGGTTTCATCTGTCCACAGTATATTTTGCCAGTAGTGCTGTGGAACATCCAGGTGCTCTTTTGCAAACTTCAAACGTTCTGCAATATTCTTTTTGGACAGCAATGGCTTCCTCCGTGGTGTCCTCCCATGTACTCCATTCTTGTTTAATGTTTTTCTTATTGTAGATTTGTCAACAAAAATGTTAGCATGTGCCAGAGATTTCTGTAGGTCTTTAGCTGACACTCTGGGATTCTTCTTTACCTTATGCAGCATTCTGCACTGTGCTTTTGCATTCATTTTTAAAGGACGACCACGCCTAGGGAGAGTAGCAACAGTGCTAAACTTTCTCCATTTGTAGACAGTCTGTCTTACCGTGGACACATGAACATCAAGGCTTTTGGAGATACTTTTGTAACCCTTTCCAGCTTCATGCAAGTCAACAGTTCTTTATCGTAGGTCTTCTGAGAGCTCTTTTCTGCGAGGCATGGTTCACATCAGACAGTGCTTCTTGAAACCAGTAAACCCAAAACAGGTGTGTGTTTTTTAAGGGCAGGACAGCTGTCAGCAACACATCCAATATCATCACACTGATTGGAGTCAAGGTTGGCTCACTCCTGGCTCCAATTAGCTCTGGGAGAAGTCATTAAGCTAGGGCCTCACATACTTTTTCCTCCCTGCACTGTGAATGTTTACATGTTATGTGCAATTAAACCATGGCAACATCTAATGTTTGTGTAGTATTTATGTTCAGCAGACTGTGTTCTTCTATTGTTGTGATTTAGATGATGTTCAGAGCACATTTTATGCCCAATTCATGCAAAACTCCACGTAATCCCAAGGGGTTCACATACTTTTTCTTGCAACTGTATATCAGCAGCCAGCAGCAATAGATCCCATCCCTGAACAGTAGATCCCCTCCTGCAACATACCCCCAGGAACAATAGATCCCCCACCAGTACCAATAAACCTCTCCATCAATAGACCCCTGCAACAATAGTTCCCCCCCCAGCAAATATTGATCCCCTAGTTGACAGCAATAATAGACCCTCCAGCACATCCCACCACCTCTTGCCATTGCATACATCCAGTGCTGGAGGTCCCGGAATTGCGTTCCCCCCATGTTCCCACTGAAAAAAACCCTGGCTATTGGGGAATGGAACCTGGGAGCAAACAGCCAGCCCAGTCTGGGGTCTGTGCTACACTCATATGGTGCTCTCTTTGACCTATTACACTTGGATTTCTCAACTCTGGTGAATGTTCTCTCCCCGGAGATCCCCATCTTTGTGATGATTTGCCAAATGCATTCCAGTTGGGTTTAAATAATGACTGTAATGAAAATGTCCACATATTGATAACTTGTACAAATCTGTATCCAGCTCCCCTCTAGCACTACTCTTCGGAGCTGTGTATTTCGTCACTTCTAGGTTCCCAGTTACTGTTCCTTGGACAGTGTAGTCAGGGAAACAGCTAATCAATTGTCTGGGAGAAAGTTTAAAGTAGAAATAAAGGAAAAACTTCCTTTTTTTCATACAGTAAGAGGTATTTTTGCCATTCATCCCATTGGGCAGAAGTCAGTGGAAATCCCTCCAAAGTGAAGGATCCCATGGTGTCACCAAAACTAGTGTTCCCATTGGAAGATTTCCTCTCTATTCCTTTTCTGGAGTCAACCCAAAATTTGGGATTTCAGAGATAACGGTAAACAGAATGACTATAGAGTGTGGAGATCTGTAATGGGGGCACAGACAGCAATAAAACCTGACAAGGGTTCTGATCCCTCTGCACTCTTTCTAAATCTGAAGAGAACGTTTTCCCTTTAGTTATCCTTTCAAGTCTTTTCTAGCAAAGAACACCAATTTAACCACTTCCTGACCGCGCTATAGCTGAGCGACGACAACAGCATGGTCATCCAGTTCTGGGAGAATGTCAAATGACGTCCTCCCAGAATACACCCCCACGTGCCCCTGGAGCTCTCTATACCCTTTAGACAAAGCTGATCAAATGACAAGGTAAAGGGCCACATCTGTCATAGGGTGAGGAAAGTACTGCTGATAACTGGCAACTGTGAGAGTATTCATCTACACTGATAATCAGGGCAGCCCCAAAAGTGCCCACCAGTGCTGCTCATCAGTGCTGCCTATCAGTGCCATATATCAATGCCACCTCATTAGTGCAGCCTATCAGTGCTGTATATCAATGCCACCTCATTAGTGCAGCCTATCAGTGCTGTATATCAATGCCACCTCATCAGTGCCCATCAGTGCTGCCTATCAGTGCGGTATATCAATGCCACCTCATCAGTGCAGCCTATCAGTGCGGTATATCAATGCCACCTCATCAGTGCAGCCTATCAGTGCTGTATATCAATGCCACCTCATCAGTGCAGCCTATCAGTGCTGTATATCAATGCCACCTCATCAGTGCAGCCTATCAGTGCCATATATCAATGCCACCTCATTAGTGCAGCCTATCAGTGCCATATATCAATGCCACTTCATCAGTGCCCATTAGTGCTGCCTATCAGTGCCGTATATCAATGCCACCTCATCAGTGCAGCCTATTAGTGCCGTATATCAATGTCACCTCATCAGTGCCATATATCAGTGCCACCTCATCAGTGCCCATCAGTGCCGTATATCAATGCCACCTCATCATTGCAGCCTATCAGTGCCGTATATCAATGCCACGTCATCATTGCAGCCTATCAGTGCCAAATATCAATGCCACCTCATCAGTGCAGCCTATCAGTGCCATATATCAATGCCACCTCATCAGTGCAGCCTATCAGTGCCGTATATCATTGCCATCTCATCAGTGCAGCCTATCAGTGCTGTATATCAATGCTGCCTCATCAGTGCAGCCTATCAGTGCCCATCAGTGCTGTATATCAATGCCACCTCATCAGTGCAGCCTATCAGCGCCGTATATCATTGCCACCTCATCAGTGTCGTATATCAATGCCACCTCATCAGTGCCGTATATCAATGCCACCTCATCAGTGCAGCCTATCAGTGCCGTATATCAATGCCACCTCATCAGTGCAGCCTATCAGTGCCGTATATCAATGCCACCTCATCAGTGCAGCCTATCAGTGCCGTATATCAATGCCACCTCATCAGTGCAGCCTATCAGTGCAGCCTCATTAACGCACATCAGCAAAGGAGAAAAATTCAGTTTGCAAAATTTTATAATAGAAACAAAGAAACTTTTTTTCTTGAAACTTTTTGCACTTTTTTCCTTTATAAACCCCAGTGGTGATTACATTCCACCAGAAGAAAGCTCTATTTGTGTGAAAAATGTCATATATGTACAGAGTTGCAATTGTTATACAAAGTGCGACAGCACTGAAAGCAGGCCGGGGCAGGAAGGGGGTGAAAGTGCCCGGTAGGCAAGGGGTTAAGTGTGCAATAATCTGTAATACCCGCCCTGCCAGACAAGGAGTTATTGAAGCTGCTGGAAGGTCAGTCCCTGAACTGGGGGACACTCTGATAACGGGCATACATTCCATATGATCCGCCTTCTCCGCCCAAGTGAAGTCCCGCCTCCAGTGGGCAGTCTGATGCCATGCAAGGTATGTATTGCCCGGTGGCAACCTCCGCCCCTCCTTGAAAAGCCCCGCCCCTGGGAAACCGTGTTCTCAAGCTAAGCCCCGCCCCGGGAGCAGTCTGCTGCAATGCAATGCATGTATAGCCCGGTGCCAGCCTTTATATTCTCCCCTAGTGAAGCCCCGCCTCCAGCAAAGTCCACTGTCATTGGAAGCCAATCCCACAGGAACAGTCTTCTGTCGTGCATGTGCCGCTTCCTAGTCAGGTCGTCTGCCGGTCTCCATCGGTTCGGGCGATCTGTTTCCAGCTCCGGTCTCCCCCGGTGTCGGGGCTCCATGTCGGGCTCGGTACAGTTGCGGGTGTTCCCGGAGCGCTGCCTGTTCGATGATCCTCTCCGGCTGGAGGTGAGCGGCTTGATCCCCGGACAGGAGGTGACTCTCCGCACCGAGCTGACCGATGAAGGCGGGGAGCCGTTCACTTCCCTGGGTCGGTACCGAGCCGGGAGCGGAGGGGAGCTGGAACTGAGCCGGAGCCCGGCGCTGGAGGGCGGCACCTTCACCGGAGTAGAAGCGGAGGGGCCCCTGTGGGCTCTGGAGCCCCGGAATGGTGTGAGGAGGAGGATGATGAAGAAGGACGTGCGGAGCCCCCTGATTGTCCGCTTCTCCCTCCACCAGGAGCCGGCCGGAGCTGTGCTGAGCACTGCGGTCCAGGAGAGGAGCTTCCTGGGGGAAGGAGTCCGGAGGATCGGGGTGAGGGAGGGCGCAGTGCGGGCCACTCTCTTCATACCGCCCGGTGAGTGTCCCCAGGACAGGGGATCGGGGTCACTGGGGGGGGACATGAGGGATCGGGGTCACTGGGGGGGGGACATGAGGGATCGAGGTCACTGGGGGGGGACATGAGGGATCGAGGTCACTGGGGGGGGACATGGGGTGAGGGAGTTTACAATGCGGGCCACTCTCTTCATACCACCTGCTGAGTGTCCCCAGGACAGGGGAGCTGGGTGACTGGGGGGGGGCATAGGGGAGTGAGGTCACGGGGGGGGCGGACATGGGTGATCGGGGTGAGGGAGGACACAGTGCAGGACACTCTCCTCATACCGCCCGGTGAGTATCCCCAGGACAGAGGAAACATGGGGGATTGGGGTCAATGGGGGGTTGACATGGGGGATCGGGGTCGCTGGGGAGGGACATGGGGAATCGGGGTTAGCACAGTGCAGACCACTCTCCTTATAACGCCAGGTGAGTGTCCACAGCACAGGGTAGTGTCCCTGGAAGGGAGACATGGGGGATCAGGGTCACTGGCAGGGGCATGGGGGATCGGGGGTCACTGGGGGGGGGTGACATGGGGGATCGGGGTGAGGGAGTGCACAGTGCAGGCCATTCTCTTCATACCGCTTGGTGAGTGTCCACAGGACAGGGGAGCGGGGTCACTGGGAGGGAGACATGGGGGATCAGGGTCACTGGGAGGGGCATGGGGGAGCAGGGTCACTGGGGGGCTCACCGGGAGGGGACATGGGGGAACGGGGTGAGGGAGTGCGATATGCGGGCCACCAAGGATGGGGCATTGTTTTTTCACCACTGATGTTGGGACCTATATTCTATTCCCACTGGCCACAGTCTGGCCCCCTACAGTCTGAAGGACAGTAATCCGGCCCTTTGTCTAGAAAGTTTGGAGACCCCTGCTCTAAAACTTCTGTCAGTGTACCAGTGTTCCACCATTAAATAAAATGTATACCTTCCCCCCTCCGTGCTCACGTGCAAAGTCATACGCCCCCTATGCATATGTAAACGGCGATTGCAGTGAATGTCAGAGCGAGAGCAATAATTCTAGCACCAGACCTCTTCTGTAGCTCTAAACTGGTAACCTGTAAGATCCTATAAAGTGTCGCTGTGACGGAGCGCAGGCAGGACAGAACACACAGAGTAGATGGCAAACGCACAAAGCTTTATTGAGGCAAACAGATGACAGTCACTGAATAAGTGAGTTCACAGGGAGGGTGAATATGCCAGTAAAGGGCGGCAAGGAGGGGCCAACACACTTAAAGTGCAACACCGAGAGCCAAGGAAGAGTCTCTGTAGCAATTGTAATTCAATGGGGGGGGGGGGGGGGGGGGGGGTGAGCACAGGAACAGTTACAGTTCAAGTGAAGCAGGGAGAGAGCATGTACTCACGGATCCAACAGGGTGCCTGGTCTTCCACTGTGGGGTCTCTGGCAGCTGGCAGGCAACTTGCAATCTCTCCCCTAGGCTGGGGGTCCCTGGATCCCTGGCAGCTAGCAGGCAGTCCCGCGCTCTCTCCCCTAGGCTGGGAGTCTCTGGATCCCTGGCAGCTAGCAGACAGTCCCGCACCCTCTCCCCTAGGCTGGGGGTCTCTGGATCCCTGGTGGCTAGCAGGCAGTCTTCCCTTGCTCTGGGCGTCTCTTGATCCCTGGTGGCTATCAGGCAGTCTTCCCCTGCTCTGGGGGGGGGTCTCAGGCAGGCTTGGGTCTCTGCAGAGTCTGGCCACGAAGGTCCTGCCGCAGCTGGGTCTCCTTCAGTTGCTGCACAGCGGTGAATACCCCGGGAGCACCCGGCATCAGCTTCTTAAGCCGATGTCGGACGCCCCCTTGTCGCCTAGGCAACCGGGGCGGGCCGGAGCTTTCCGGACAACGAGGCACGCCCCCTGGACAGGGGCCGTGCCTCTCCTGAACGTGGCCTTTGTCCAGGGACATCCGCAAGTGCGGGAACTTCCCATGCCCGAGCTGCGGATGTCAGGGCTTGTGCGGCGCCAGCCTGTCGCCACGATACCTTTCATGTCTGCAGGAGGTGAGAGGGGCCGTACCTCTCGTCCTGAGGCTCGGCTTCAAAGAGCCACGCCGGGGATAGCAGGGGGGGCCTGAGGGGAAGGATGAGGGACGGCAGGGACAGCAGGAGGGCCTGAGGGGAAGGACGAGGGACACCAGGGACAGCAGGGGGGCCTGAGAGGGGAAATTAGCTGTGACAGTCGCCTATGGTGATATTTAAATACCGTAGTTTTGCGCCTTTTCACAAGTGTGCGCAATTTTAAACTGTGACATGTTTGGTATCGATTTACTCGGGCCAACACCATATTTATTATACTAAAAAATTAAGTATTATGTTTTGTGTGCATTCAAATATATTAGTGTATTTTTGCATTAGTGTGTAAAATTGCATTCAAAAAACTGCTGCACAAATACCATGTAACATAAAAATTTGCAAAACCCACCATTTTATTCTCTAGGGCCTGTGCTAAAAATATATAATGTTTGAGGGTTCTGAGTTCTAGCAAAATACTGCCAAAAAGTGTCAGAGGGCAGCCTGGTCTTAAAGTGTTTATTGCCTGAAGGTTCTCCTTGGATGTTGGGCCTCACTTTGAAGCTAAAGGGAGAGTAGGCAGGTGCATGGATCATGCAGTCCATGTAGACTATTATAAGATGGAATGTGTTCCAGATCAGGCAGAAGGTAATCCAGTTGACAATAGGGCAGGCTGTGGTAGAGTGAAGCACGCTCTAGAGTAGAGGAACAGACACTGAGGACACAGCACCTCTAAGTGTAAACTGAATAACCATTTATTATTAAAAAGTAAGTTAGGCAACTCACATCTTCTAAAAAGTATACAGGCTCATAGGGATAAAGTGTAGAAAACGTCTATCGCTAGATGTTAGTAGGTGCTCTGAAAGGGATCAACGGCCGATCAGCTGGAGGCACTGCACAGGGACGGGCATGGATGGAGAAGACTGGCTGAGCCCCTGGTTTGTCCGGAGCTGATGGTCTTGCCATCTGACGTCATCAGGTTGCGACGCGTTTCTGAGCATGCGCGGGGACAGCTAGGAGCCAGCACGTTCTTTCTCCCAGAGAGAGCAGGGGTGCCAGTACATGGAGAATCTACAGAGCGATGAGAGTGTATATGTATATATATGTATATGTATATATATGTATATATATGTGTATATATATATATATATATATATATATATATATATATATATATATACCGGGAGCAGATAAACAAGGATGAGCAAAGCAATAGATAATGTATAAAGTTAAAAATGGCAAATCAGGATAAGAAAATACATAAGTATATATGGAATATGATGTAACACACCAGAGGACATAATGAGTATAACGAATAAATGGATATGCATCAATGAGTATGTAATGGACAAATAGTATGTGAGTAATAAAAAGGGAAATGGGTTGCATATATGTACATATAAATTATTATATGGGGAAAGAGGACCAATGGGTATAATGAATAGATGAGTATACATCAATGAAATAATAATGGACAAGTGTGTGTAAATAAGTGGATGTATGGATAAATAGTGTGATAAATGAAGAGATGTAAACAATTTAATAGAATACAATAGGGATGAATGTATGTTGGACAGATATGGAAATAGGATATTGTATGTATGCATACACAAAATGAGGTGATAGCGGTGCGTGCATATACGTATGTGTGGGTTGAAGAATGGCCAGCAATGTGTGTGTGTGCATTACATCAACAGAATGGAAATGGTAAAAAGAATAATTGCATGACCAAGAATGGATTCCTATAATCTTACATCTATCTCTGACAGTAGTTACTAACATTATGACCACCCACAGATAATAGGGGTATGGACCACCCCCCGAGACAAAAAAGGATATGGATTTGCAAGTACAGTGGGGATCGAAAGTTTGGGCACCCCAGCTAAAAATTTGTATTAATGTGCATAAAGAAGCCAAGAAAAGATGGAAAAATCTCCAAAAGGCATCAAATTACAGATTAGACATTCTTATAATATGTCAACAAAAGTTAGATTTTATTTCCATCATTTACACTTTCAAAATAACAGAAAACAAAAAAAATGGCGTCTGCAAAAGTTTGGGCACCCTGCAGAGTTAATATCTTGTACTGCCCCCTTTGGCAAGTATCACAGCTTGTAAACGCTTTTTGTAGCCAGCCAAGAGTCTTTCAATTCTTGTTTGAGGTATCTTTGCCCATTCTTCCTTACAAAAGTCTTCCAGTTCTTTGAGATTTCTGGGCTGTCTGTCACGCACTGCTCTTTTAAGGTCTATCCATAGATTTTCAATTATGTTGAGGTCAGGAGATTGTGAAGGCCATGGCAAAACCTTCAGTTTACGCCTCTTGATGTAATCTCCCGTGGATTTCGAGGTGTGTTTAGGCTCATTATCCATTTGTAGAAGCCATCTTCTCTTTAACTTCAGCTTTTTCACAGATGGCATCAGGTTACCATCCAAAATTTGCTGAAATTTTATTGAATCCATGTTTCCTTCTACTCGTGAGATGTTCCCTTTGCCACTGGCTGCAACACAACCCCAAAGCATGATTGATCCAACCCCATGCTTAACAGTTGGACAGAGGTTCTTTTCATTAAATTCTGTGCCCCTTCTTCTCCAAACGTACTTTTGCTCATTCCGGCCAAAAAGTTAAATTTTAACCTCATCGGTTCACAGAACTTGTTTCCAAAATGCATCAGGCTTGTCTATATGTTCATTTGCAAAGTTCAAACGATGATTTTTGTGGTGAGGACGTAGAAGAGGTTTTCTTCTGATGACTCTTCCATGACGACCATATTTGTACAAGTATTTCTTTATAGTGGAATAGTGTACCACAACTCCAGTGTCTGCGAGATCTTTTTGGAGGGATCGTGCAGTCAAACGTGGGTTTTGAATTGTTTTTCTCACAATCCTGCGAGCTGTTCTGTCTGATATTTTTCTTGGTCTTCCAGATCTTGCTTTAACTTCCACTGTTCCTGATGACTGCCATTTCTTAATTACATTCCGAACAGAGGATATTGACATCTGAAAACGCTTTGCTATCTTCTTATAGCCTTCTCCAGCTTTGTGAGCGTCAACTATTTTCAGTTTCAGTTTTCTAGACAACTGCTTAGAAGAACCCATGGTGCTGATTGTTGGGGCAAGGTCAGATGAGTCTGGGCATTTAAAACCTTTGAGATTGACATCACCTGGTCTTCCCAGACAATGATTGAGAACAATCCATGACACTGGCAGGTCTCAGCTTTGCAAAGGGGGCAGTGCATGCTATAAATTCTGCAGGGTGCCCAAACTTTTGCAGACGCCATTTTTTTTGTTTTCTGTTATTTTGAAAGTGTAAATGATGGAAATAAAATCTAACTTTTGTTGACATATTATAAGAATGTCTAATCTGTAATTTGATGCCTTTTGGAGATTTTTCCATCTTTCCTTGGCTTCTTTATGCACATTTATACAAATTTTTAGCTGGGGTGCCCAAACTTTCAATCCCCACTGTATGCCTATGCTATGGGAGAGAAATAACTTTGTACATAAACATTTTATTTCACTTTTCCATTTTCCAAAGAATTGTGGAAAAAAATTACAACTTCAAAAAACTCACCATGCCGCCTACTAAATACTGTCTACTTTCCAAAAAGGGGTAATTTTAGGAGTATTTATACTGTCCTGGCATCTCAAGAAATGAGATGGGCCGTCAGTACATCAGGTGTGATCAGTTTTCAATGATTGGTACCATAGCTTTTAGACTCTAGAACAGGGGTACTCAATCTTTTTAAACAAGGGGGCTAGTTCACTGTCCCTATGACTGTTGGGAGCCGGACTAGAGTTTGAAAAAAACATGAACAAATTCCTATGCACACCCACATATCTTAGTTGTAGTGCAAAAAAAACAGAAAAATAGTACAATATTTAAAATGAACAGTTTTAATCAACATTGTTGACCGAGATATCACCCTTCCAAGCCAGCAGTGAGTAGTTGGGGAGGGGGCAGTAAAAAACGCAGCTTAGCTGCACATGGCAAGTCAGCACTCAACAACCATGTGACACACTGACAAAGCAATGACAGAGCACCTGTGTTATCATAATGCTGCTGATGGTCTATGTGTTAGCATAATAGGACACAGTGAGGATCCCATCCTCTATTCTCCACTCACTGTGTCCAGTGCAGCCAGTCTATCCTGCTGCTCCCTCTCACCCGCTGAGCCGACTCACATCGGTCTCGGCACCTGATATTCGGTGTGAGCTGAGCAGAGAATCTAGTATCACTCCGCCAGGGAAGGCAGTGGCAGCCTGCCGGCACTAATTTAGTAGCACACCCCTTTTGAAAACAAACTTTTGTTCGAAACGCGTCAAGGAAGGAGCCCTGCACGCCCAGACGTTACGCCACCGGATCACGGCGGTCATTTCATGGTACCAGCTGGTTAGTGTTTTATTGAGCAATTTTACTGCATTGCTTGTTTTCTCTTGCACAAACCACAGTATGTTTTACCTTTGACCTTTTAATATATACTACTATTAAAGCATTCTTATTTTGAAATACTACACTATGGGGAATCCCCCCTTATTTTGCTCTGCACCGAGCACTTTAAATTCCCAGCTATTCCCTGATGACCATCCCAATGCCTGAAAAAGGGTGACCCACGCGTTTCCTAAAAGGGAATCCCAGCTGACCGTCTTTTCCTGTAACCAAAAGGAGAGCCAACTACCCCCAGGCTGTATCCAGACCTACCTTGAGAAGGGATATCGGACAGATCGCCTATATATGATACAACGTGCTAATTTTAAGCGCATCTGGTGAGTGCGCACTTTATCCATTTCTTGCACAACCACCTGAATATATCAAGTTTATTGGGAATAATAGCGGCATTAGGAGATCATTTTGATGAACTGTGTTTATATTATTTTTTTTATATTATTTTATGACATAAACACAGGTATAACTACGGTGCGTTTCCCTTTAAAGATTTTATGAACTTTTATATCAGTTCAAGAGTTAATATTTCTTGATCCACGTATGTGTATTTGCTTAGCTGCATACCTGTCCTTTTAATATATTTTTTTAGCGCTGTACTTTTTTACATATTTTATCTGAAGGAGTTTGGTTTTTTACCTCAGTGCAGTAGCTGCTTTTATAACTTGGCGCTCGCTTTTTCTATTTACATATGGAATGGTGTACATGCTCCCTAGAAAAGACCCTCCACTGTGCTCACCTCCTGGGCCCCTCTGTTGACCTGATGGGGCCCAGGAAAATGTAATTACAACCCCGTAAGCAAGTAGGAATCGGGGTGAAGTTTAGCAAACCCTATTTTTTTTATTGTGCAGTAAAGAACTGTAATGCTGCCCCAGGCGCCCCACTGATCTGTGTTGCAGGCAGCACATAGAAAGTGCTTGGGAGTACATCAGCTGTACAGACTTCCCCGCATAACTGAGCTTGACAAGTGCACAGACCCAGCTGCAGAGCCTGTGTATCCAGGTCCATAAACCCATCAAACTAAGCTGTGAAGGCGAGTCCCTCCCATTCACTTTCTATGGACTGCCTGCATGCAGCTCTGTGGTGAAAAAAATGTTGCATTGGTTTAAAATGACTTTTTATGTACAGCTGTTTGGGCTTGTGCAGTGAATGAGATCCCATTACAGGTGTAGTGATGGTTGTGAATTCTGCTACAGGACCCGGACCATTTCCCGGAGTGATTGAAATTCAAGGGACAGGCGGAGGACTGCTAGAATACAAAGCTAGCCTATTAGCCAGTAGAGGGTTTGCCACAATGGCACTGGCGTACTACAACTATGAAGATCTCCCAAAGGAAATGAAAGATTTTCACTTGGAGTACTTTGAAGAGGCGGTGAATTACATGCTGCAGCATCCAGAGGTGAGCGCCATTCTAGGAGGCTTGGATATCTTGTGAAATGCTTTCCATTAGGCTCTGTAAACACCATCTTGGCTAACTGTTGATTTAAAATGAATTTGCAACCAATGTTCCTAGTAAGTTAAGTTGTGATGAATAAGTACAGGTAGTTGACTATACTTTGATTCAAGCTGTCTTTTGCTTGGCATATATAAATCCAAAAAAAATGTACTGTATATGCAGCTTACCAGTCCTTAATGTAGTTGTGAAGGTTCAAGTTTTTTACTTTTTTTTTTTTTTTTTTTTATTCTATGCATGAAGGTAGAAAAACCTTTAGTGTGCACGAGAGCCTCAGCTCTCCAGGGACTCTCCCTCCTTGGCTGAGATGGCAATGGAAGCCATCGGCTCCTGGTGCTGTCAATCACAGCCAGTGAGCCAATGAGGGGAGAGAGGGGGGGGCAGGACCAAGCCGCAGCTCTGTGTGTGGACATGCAGAGCAGCAGCGGCTCCGGATTAAGTCTGCCAGGGGGCCACTTAGCTGCTTGCTCTGGGGGCATTTGGCAGAGGGAGGGGCCAGAAGCGTCGGTGGGGGACCCGAGAAGAGGAGGATCGGGTCTGCTCTGTGCAGACCCGATCCTATTTTATTTTTTTAATTGCCTTTTATTACTACTTTAAATGTGGTGGATGCATTCATTTTCTTTTTCTTTTTTCACGTTAAGAACGTTTTCAGAAGTACATTGCTCCAGAAATTTAGTGTCCTAAAAAAAACAGGAAAAACAATGTTCTCCTTCTTGTGTGAACTACTAATCTCCTGTCCACAGTGTAGTGGAAATGAACAAAGGCAGACATGTTATATGTCCATCTTGGGTGGCAACCATGGCACATCCAATCGATATGGTGATAATGAATATAGCCATGAAAGAACAAGAAATATTTGTAGGACAACCAGCTGAAAACAAAAAGAGAAAAAGGAAAAAAAAAAAACATTGCAGCCACCAAATCTAAGGATTGGTAAGCTGCAATATCTTACATTTTTGTTTTACTATCTTCTTAGAACTATTCAGTCAACACCTCATTGTCTTACTGTTTTCTAATGCCTACACAGAAACAGTGTATCTGGATCGGTGCCACCTCAGTAAAACCTTGGGCGTTGTACTCGGACTCCAAGCTGTGGGAATGGCCTGTAGTGTTGCTTCAGCGCTGATTCCTGGATGGGTGCTCTTCTTAACATTTGGTGCAATGCGTTGAGACAGCCACAGCGCGCTAAACTGGTTCATGGCTGTGGTCCATCTTTATGGACCCCAGTTCCTAAAGACCCCATTGGACGTATGCTCGTCATATCATAGCAGGTGAAGCCTGGACATTATATATAGTCCAGGGTCGTGGACAGGTAAGACAGGGTCCCGCTGTATTTCTTACCGTCGTTGTTTAAAAACAGGGCCATGTTTTGGAATGTTTTCACTTTTTATTGTGCAAACTTTTCAAACATGGAGCTAAAATTCAACCACTTAAAGCTCAGTCTCTGGTGGATGACCAGGTGTTGCATCATACCAGTTCGCACACTTCACACCCCTTCCACCTAGAGCTCTTACAAGGTACTCAGGTGCCCTTTCACCACCTGAATTTGTTACAGGATGTTCTACACCTAGGTTACTACGTACTTACACACTTGCCTATCACCCGCATTCTACTCTGTGGAGTAACCCACAGGAGATTACTCTCACTTGTAGCTGTGGCAGAGCCCGGGCACAAGGATGCCAATTCAAAATTGCAGGTGAACATTTGCTTTGCCAAAGGCCTGCACAACTCTCAACCTCATAATGTCGATGCGTCCCTTGCACGGGAGCAGGACCTTGTATTAACACCGATCTCCACATTTGATTCTAGCTCTATTTCAAGCACACAACAAGCTGCCTATTAGACTAAAGCAGAATTTCTGAATCAATGTCACATTTGCTTGGACAGATTACAGACTGCAGGACCAGCAATCCCCCTCCACAGTGCAGTTTTGGAGCATCTTCAGAAATTCAGAACCCAATAAGAGCGTGAGGGCCTCAGTACCCAGCCTTCCCCTGTTTTATATGCCTCACAGGGTGGGAGACTGGTTCCAAAAAAGCCTGCGAAGAGTACCAGAGTAATATAACCCTTTGCCTTATCTGGGCCAGCCACCCTCTGTCGGATTAATGTAGGCAGCCTGCCTAAAAGAGCTCCTGTCTAATTTAACCAGGCTTCAACTTCAAATTGGAATAAGACCTGGCCCACAAAAGCCATGAAGCCTACCCCAAAGCCCTCTTCATAATAAAGGAGCGCCCTCACTCCTAATAGCATAGCAACATCTGTTAGTTTGCCTCTCTAAGTCAGATGTCCCAGACCTGTGGGTTTAACGTTGGGTTTCAAAGGCGTACATAAGAGTTCAAATCTCTACCTCCTCCTGCTTTCATCTTTGAAATCAACCAAAAACTTCCCAAGGTCAGGTAGATGTACAGAATGCCCTGAACCACTTCTTGTCTCAGGGAGTCATTTTGCCAGTACCACCCACAAGACTGGTTCAAAGGATTCTACCTGCTCAGAGTACCAAAGTCCAACAGGGGGTATTCTATTCTGGGTTTAATAATCCTAACAAATTCCTTCAAATTCCAAAATTTCACATGGAATCTGTAAGGTCAGTATTGCGTCTCTGAAAGAAGGGGAATACATGTCATCCATGAACATCCAAGATGTCTATTTGCTTGTTTCAGTTCACCAACTTCATCAGCAATTTCTACACTTTGCAGTGGCAGACAACTACTTCCAGTTTGTCTCACTGCCCTTCTGCCTGTCTTCTGCTCCCAGGATGTTTACAAAGGTTTTGACAACCTTGCTCGCCCTTCTCAAAACTCATGGCTTCCAAGTTGCAGGCTATCTAGATAACCATCTCCTGAAGGAGTCATGTCCCTTGCAGTTCTCAACAAATGACTACACAGCAGTTCAGCTGCTCCAGGCCATTGGCTGGGTGATCGATTTCAATAAATCTGCTTTCCAGGTTTCCCTACACCTGATATACTTGGGTCTGTTTCTTGACAAATCCCGAGCAAGAGTTTTTCTTTCAGGAAAGAAAAGTCAAACATTTTTGTCAGCATATAAAAAGCAGACGTATTTCCTCAACTTGCTCATGCTCCTATCCAGCCAAGCAAGAATTTCCTTCACTTGATGAATCAGCACACCAGCTCTGTCAGTGGTGAAGTCCTTCCTTTCTTACCACTGAAAAGTCCTTACAACAGATGCAAGTTTGTCAGGCTGGGGGACGACTATTATAATCCTTGACAATTCAGGGAGCATGGTCAATAGGAAAGAAACCAAACTCTCCAACATTTTGGAGCCCAGAGCAGTCAGATTGTCCTTGCAGTACTGGACCCCCCCCCCCCTTCTGAAGGGACACCCAATGTGGGAGCAGTCACAGGGCCAGCACAGTGGCATATATCAAACTGTCAAGGGGACTTGGTGAGCCTGAATGCTTAACAGGAAGCAAACAATTATTCTCTTATGGACAGAAACTCACTGTCCAAAAATTTCCGTAGTCCACATCTCAGGAGTGCACAGCTGGCAGGTGGATTATCTTGGCCGCCTCCACTTGGACCCAGGGGAATGGTATCTTTATCCATATGTGTCCAGTCTGATATGCCAGAGATGGGGTTTCCTAGCCTCCAGATTCAACAACAAGCTACCTTTTGTAGCCAGAACCAGGGATCCCCTAGCCCTGGCCTCTGATGCTCTAATTAACCCCTGGTGGTCTCAGGCTAATTTTATACCTTCCCTTTAATACAACTCTGCCTTACTTGCGCAACAAAATAGAGCAAGAGAGGAAGATAGCAATTCTAAATGCACCAAACTTGACCCAGAAGAACCTGGTACACAGACCTACTCCGACTTCCTGCAGACAACCCCTGGCCTCTTCCCTAGAAGTGAGGTTTGCCATCTCAAGGTCCTCTATTCCATCCTGCCTTCATAGTCTCTGGCTATATCAGCATGGCTGTTGAAACTCATGTTTCAAAAGATGGATTTCTGGGTCTGTGATTCCTGCCTTGCTCAAAGTAAGAAAAGCCACTTCCAGCAAGATCTATTATAATACGTGGAAATCATATTTTGCCTAGTGTGAACGCAGTTAATTCAGCCTCAGGGATCACTCTGTGCGTCGCATTTTGGCCTTCCTACAAACAGTTTTTGGTGCTTAGCATCTTTAAAGGGAAAGTCACTACCTTTTATCTATTCTTTTCCAATGGCCCATGGCTTCGCACTCCCTTTATAAAACCTGTATTCAAGGTGTTTGTTCATTCATGCCCCCCTTGCAGCACCCGTGCTTCCCTGGGATGTTTATTTGGTTCTCTCTGCCTTGCAGAAACCATTCTTTGGTGCCTATCACTTTTGTCAGCCGTGTTTCTGAACTGGTGGTGGCTCTTTCCTATAAAAACCCTCAAACTCAATAACAAAATTTTGTTAAACGTGCGACCATTCTTCCAAAGTGGTTTCAGTAGTCCATCTTCTCAGTGAAGGCATTGCCTGCCATCCTGTGCACTGCTCCTAAGCATCCAAAGGAATGGTCTCTACATTGCCTGGATATTGTCAGGGCCATTAGCATATACTTTTATAGCTACTACATCTATCAGACAAATGGATTCCTTCTTTGTTCTTTACTTTTGGCTATAAGGTTCTTGCAGTGGGACTCTGACCTCGGGTCCTTAAACCCCTGTTTTTCCAATGCCTTACATTTAAAAAAGGAGACATTTTTCCTATCTGTTCCATATCTTGGAGTACAATAAAGGGCACAGGCCACTAACCCTTCCTTTCTTGGTTTACTCTGCATTGCTTGCTGCAAAACTGAGGACTCAGAATAGGGTAGGGTCATAGGGGAGGCATGTCCTCAAAAAGCTTGCCAGCATCAAATCGCCTGAAGGTACATGCCTATAACCATTGTGTGTGTGT